AAGTTTCTCGTCACTTTAAACTTAACAACTTTTATGATACACACTATAAATCACAGCGATTCACAATCTCGATAACTTCGCTCTCGACGCACACTTTATGGCTCACTAGCTCAAAACTAACAGTATAATAAATTACACGGAACTCAGAGTAACTACTGCTCTCTCTTCTTTCATTCCTGCTGGCCTTCTTTGCCAGGCTTATATACTAATGAAGAGGGCATCTCGAGCACACTCAGACTTCCCCGATCATTCAAGAAACTCATCAGCATCGCATGACTTCCACTGTTGTAACAATATAAAAAATTTTATTCTTCATTTTTATGTGAAATTTATAAAATCTGCCACTTATATTTTTGGTTATTTGTTCTATACAAGTGTAGTGTATTTTATATTTTGCCCTATCTGTGTTGAATAATTTTGATTTGTTATTGGATTCCTCCTTATTAAGTTTTTATTATCATTATTATTTTTTTTAGTGGACTGTGTTTTGGAATCTACCTTATCTCTACTGGAATCCTATGAAAAATGGAGAAGCTGGGCTGATGAGAAAGTTTGCTGTGACTATGCTCTGCACGTTGCTGTGACCTCATGGAATGACAATATTAAACAGGACATAGTGATACTCACTCAAAAACATGGTTTGTACAATAACCACTTAGGGTGACACATGTTAACCAGTTACTTGTGTTAGTTATTTGTTGTTTCAGTGTTAAATTGTAAAGATTAGCTAGATGTATACTTGTTCTAGTACAGCTGGATACTTTGTACAATAACCACTTAGGGTGACACATGTTAACCAGTTACTTGTGTTAGTTATTTGTTGTTTCAGTGTTAAATTGTAAAGATTGTCTAGTGCAGTACATCCTAGTTCTATAACAGTGGTTCTCAACCTTTGTACGGCTCTTGGTCTCTGCTCATGTAACAAAAAACAATATCCTCCAAACTGAGATTGGTCTGTGTGCAGAACCTAATCCTACAGTGTATAAAAGTTACAGTGGCATGAATATGTATATAAGTTAATGAAGTTTTCAAATAAAACATTATTTTTATTTTATTTATCATATATTGTATTTTTTTCTAATTATAATAGAGAACTTGATCTTCACCCTCCCACACCCCTTTAGACTTCTCACAGCTTCCTGATGATCCATGGAGCACATGTTGATAACCATGGTTTGAGAGGACATTAAGCTTATTTTATAAAACAAAAATAACAACTTGGTATTTTTCACTGTTTTGCGACATCTAAGTAAAATTAATAATTTCATAAGGAAATGTTAGTTGGAATGAAGAATAGGTATTGTTATGAGTAATGAAACTGTTAAAATATGCATCCTAGCATCAGTTTGAAAGTAATTCTTATTTTTTATTACTTTTAAAAATTGTGTTTGGTTAAAAATACTGATTTGGTTATGGAACCCAGTGCAGTAGTCATGAAGTTGCTAATTCAAGTTGTATAGTACTTACTTAGATTGAAACAAATCACCATAACACTAGCCAGGGAAAAGGTTTGAGAATCATGCTGTGCTTAAGTGTACAAGTTTTATCGTTAGTAACCAGAACCTCATTTACATAAGTTACTAAGTAAACAGATAGCATACAAAGCAAGTTAAGAACTTACACCCCAGGATATCCTTATTCTTAAGGATTTTTACAGTACAACTCTATGAATATTATTTGTAATTTATCGTCATTTGTGAATGACTTCATTCAAGAAAATAGTTGGCCAAGCAAGAAATGACGATAACTTGTAACTTTGATAATCATATAACAAAATATAGCATCTTCTTATTGAGGAATCTTTAACATAAGGCATCAGAACATATTACTACAAAACTCATATGCTCTCATATACATTCAGATGTATGTTTATATGTATATGACTTACAAAATTATTTATATAACATGGAGGTGTTGTGTTAAAGATATAATTGATGATTTATTTCTTTTGTATTTGTTGCTTCATCAAAAAGCACATAGTTGATCTTATACATCCCACAGGAGTAATAGAAATCACTAGACATATGTTTCTTTAGGCTGTAATCTTGTCCTTCGTATCTTAGAATTTCACGATGCTATAATATATCAGTATTTTTTTTTGTCATTTTCTCGTTGAAGCATGTATAAAAAAAAACACATATTGTTGTAATGTGCTTTTCAGTCGTAGTAAAAGATTGGAAGTTGGCTAATGTTAATCCAATACTTAAAGGAGGTGATAAACATTGTCCAGGCAATTATTGGCCAGTTAGTCTTACATCAGTAGTTTGAAATGTTTTGATATAGTATCAAAGAGCCAGCCTGGTTTCACTAAGGGAAAGTCTTGTGTAACAAATCTTGTGACATTCTTTGGGCCCGGCATGGCCAGGTGGTTAGGGCACTCGACTCGCAATCTGCGGGTCACGGGTTCGAATCCTCATCACACCAAACATGTTCGCCCTTTCAGCCATGGGGGCATTATAATGTGACGGTCAATCCCACTATTCGTTGGTAAAAGAGTAGCCCAAGAGTTGGCGGTGGGTGGTGATGACTAGCTGCCTTCCCTCTAGTCTTACACTGTTAAATTAGGGATGGCTAGTGCAGATAGCCCTCGTGTAACTTTGCGCGAAATTCAAAAACAAACAAACAAATATTCTTTGAGGATGTTATTTCAAAAATTAAATCTGTGGGTGTGGTTGAAATGTTATTAAATTAGATAGAATTTGGGCTGGAAAGTAGTAATAAATGGAGTTAGATCTGACTGGATCACAGTTACAAGTGGTGTGCCTCAGGGCTGTGTGCTGGGTCCTCTGCTGTTTGTAATTTATATTAGTGACATTGACTCTGGAATGACTAACAAATTTTGAAGTTTGCAGATTAAGAGTTA